AATGCCGAGGTGTTCACATTCCATATTTTATTTTATTTAGTTCATGCATTCTATATTTCTTATTTTATTTTATTTGGTCCATTCATTCTATACTCCTTTATGACATTCCAAAAAGCTTTTTTCCCTATACTAAGCTTCCAACTTCTTCAAGCTAGATATAACATTTTGTGGGATGATTTCAAGCTTTGAACAGTTAATCGAATGTAAAACCTGAAGTTGTCAGCTGCTTAATTTCACGGGGCTATTGTTCGATGTCAGAGTGCGAAATGCTTAGAGTTTTAAAATTGTTTGGATCTCATATTATGGCTGTCATTTAGCACACAGGTGGCCAGAAATTCTATAAACAGAGAAATTGAGGAAGGCAGGAATAGAAAACGAAATTGTCAAATCCAGTACTTTTAAGTCCAAGCATTGCTTTGAGGAAATTATCCGCAACTTTCAAAAGGTCCTTGTTAACGATTAAAAAACATCATAATCTAGTATTTTAGGAAGCTAACACATGTTTGTCACTGTAACCTGAAAAATTGGAAGTGCAACTGGCAAGTTGATTCTTATCTGGGTTATTAATATATTGATTGAGAACGTATGTTGGTGCTAAAATCTATTGAGAAGTAGAATGCAAGCTATTTTTTTTTTAAAAAAAAAACTCTCATTTTAATACTTATTAGACTTAAATATGTTTTAGTCCGTCAAATTTAGGATAAATTTATTTTTGGTCTCTCAAATCTAAAGTTGATATTTTTAGTTCCTGTAATTTAAAAAAAAAATCTTATTTTAGTCGTTATATTTAATTTTTATTAAGAAATTTGTCAAATATTATTACATAAAATTTACCTATTGGTGTATCTGTTAGTGAAACTATCACATTAAATCTAATAGATATTGCATAATCATCTTAATTTTCTATTTTTATATATGTTATTGGTGATTTGAAGGATTAAAACAAGATTTTTGAAAACTATAGGGACTAAAAATAACAGTTTTAAATTTGAGGGATCATAAATAAATTTGTGAGACCCCGCACGGACTTCTTCCTTTTCCCCAACTCTCTTTCTCTCAAACACTCACTCTCTTTGTCGTGGGTCTCCTTGTGCATTCTCTCTGATTTTGGTGGCTGTGGTGGTTTAGGTGCTGATCAAGTTTAGGCAGAGCTAGTTGAGCCATGTGGAGTTCTCTTCTTTTCAAGCTCCTTCTCCTCCATTTCTTCTCCTTCTTCATTGTCTTCTCACTGTCTCGAGGCTCGGAATTCTTCACCGAGGTAAGGGAAGCTAGGTTTTGCTGATCCTTCGTTGTAAATGAGTCCTAGAAGCTCATTAGATGCTTGTTGATGAATGATTCTTGGCTGAGATTGAAGAAAATTCGTTTTCGGGTTTTCGGGGTTTTGGGTAAAATTTGGGTTTTTGCTTGTTTGATGGTTGCATGTTGAAAATGAGGTGTTTTTCATGATGTTTGATGAAAATGTGGACTTTTGGATAGATTGCATGTTGGTTTTCTGGCTGATTTTGCAGGATTTGATGAACTTTTTGAAAGTTTGAGGGTTGCTGCTGAGCATCACACTAGCGCCGTTCTTCACGTCGGGCGCGTGACCCTCAAGGGGCTCCATTTAGGCAAGCCTGCCGGGCACAAAGGTGTCTGCGCCGAGCGAGCTAGAGAATGTGAGCCTCTGGATGGTCCACGCCGGGCGTGACTTGGACCGCGTCGGGCACAATATCAGTGAGTAACAGGTTTTTGGGTTACTGGCGTGGCGCCGGGTGCGACCATGTCGCGCTGGGCGTGGAGACTCCTTGGGAGTCTCTACCAAGGGGGCGCTGGGCGTAATTTGAATTGCGCTGGGCGTGAGACCTTGGGGAGGTCTCTGCCTTCCCCGGGCCGAGCACGGGTTTAAGCACGCCGGGCGCATGAGACTCCTTAGAGTCTCTGCCTAGGTTTACGCCGGGCAGATTTTGAGCCTTGAGCTCTCTGGCTGGTTTGCGTTGGGCATGGGTACTCTTGCGCTGGGCGCGCTAGCCCCTGGTGCTCTCTGGTTGTGCTGCGCCGGGCGCGACCATGAGTGCGCTGGGCGCGGAGGTGATGTTTAGCTATATGCTGTTAGATGTTGTGAAATGCTGATAAATGTTGTTTTATGCTGAGCTGAGCTATTATTGATGAATATTGGGAGTTGAACGATAATATATTGTTGTATTGTGAATTATTAATGCTGAATTATGATGTGTGAACTGTGTTGTATGCTGTTAATGTTGTAAGATGTGTTGTGCTGTATGCTGATATAAACTGTTGTAGGCCGTAAGGCTGAGCTGTTGTAGGCCGTAAGGCTGAGTTGTTGTAGGATATCTCCGAGCTGATATGCGTGACAATGCATTGTGTGTTTATTGCCGTTTATGTTGTATAGTTGATGAGTCGTATGCTGATAATGTGTTGATAGCTGTAGCTGTTTATTATTCATGTATTTTTATATATATGTACCTTGATTCTTTTCACTAGCTTACCCTTTGTTGTTTCATGTGTTTGGACTGCGATGATCATATGTTATATGGGAGCAGAGCAAGGCTAGGTTGGTGAGTTGAGGCAAGTCTGCAGCTGGTAGATAGAGCTGGTTCTTTTTGATGTTTTGTTGTTTTAGTTACCTAGTG